CACACACACACGCACGCACACACACGCGCACACACACGCACAGACACACAAACACACGCACAGGCACACAAACACACGCACCTAAGCACGCACACGCACGCACACACGAACACACACGCACACAAGCACGCACACCCGCACACACACGCACACGCACACACGCGCACACACACGCACACGCACACACGCACCGGAGGAGAAGATGCGGCTGGAAAACAACGCCTGCATCTGAGCGCGACAGGGACCAGCCCAGCCGACGAGTGCAGAACCCATGCATTGCAATGTAAGTAGAAAGACCAGAAGTAAAAAAAAAAAAAAAAAAGAAAAAATTAACAAAAGCACATATAAAGAACAGGAAGAAGATCACATGTTGTCATAATCCCCTCTGCAGCCAGACAGGAGCAGAGAGGGGACCTGCCCCGCTAGGACTGGGAGATGTGCTGGAGGCTGAAAGGGAGGCAGGGACAAAACTTGAGCTGGCGGCCCAGCCCTCGGGAGGGGAGGCCCCCCCGCCCCGAGCCTTGCTGCAGTTTCGGGCACGGGCACCCGCTCCGGCGAGCTGCCGTTGGGTTTGTTTTTTGCTCTTATCCCCTGGCGCTCGCTGTGTGGAGCAAATCCCTTGGAGGTGGGGGAGAAGTGGCTTCCGTGACAGCGGAGGGAGGAGGGAAATAAAATAAAATAAACCAAACCAAAATAAAAAGAGAGGAGAGCCAAGAAAGCACTTGCTTCTCATCATCTCTCAGGGAGAAACGCCAACTCTGTTCTGCTTATGACCCTCTGCTGCAGGGAGCAAAGGGGAAGAAGGTGCTGGGGTAGACCTCCTAACAAAGCCGGGGTCGCGCTGCCCGGACCCCCTCGCCACCCCGGTTAGCAGCAGGCTGCGGGAGGTGCGAGGGGGCAGGGAAGGTTGCCAGGGGGACCCCAGGCAAAGCCAAAACGAAGCTCCCCCAAAAGCAAGGCGCAGAAATGAAAGTTTCGAAATAGCATCCAAACAACTGCAAAGGACCGGACCGAAGAGAGCTCTCCGCGTCGCGTCAGCCCTCGATGGTGCATTCGAGGGGCTGCATCAGGGATGTGAACATCCCCGGCCTGCTGCGTGGAGAGGGGTAAAGACACAGAAAATCCTTGTTATTTATTTATTTAATGGAAGCAATGTACGGCTGACACCCAGAAGGCATCTGAGCCCTGAAAAGAAAAACACCTCTGGACCCAAATGAGAACAAGAAGAATGAGACAGCAGCCTTGACCCCTACACTGAGAGGAAGGTGAACAGAAAGAAAGAAAGAAAACACAGAAAAGCCATGCAGGCACCAAACCTGTAGATTACTGCAGCTCTTTTTTGCTTCACTGAGGACAGATACTCTACTGACAGCCATGCAGCATAAAGGCATCGTGCTGATTGTGTTCTTGGAATATTTTATTTCTGGTCATGGGGAAGCAGGTAAGCAAAATAAATCAATATTGCCACTCATGGAACAATTTATCCTAAGTTTAGTAAGGGGAAAAGGGGTAGAAATCAGGTTTGTCTGCTAAAAAAAAGTATGTCAACATCTTTCTTTTAGAGTGGATTTTTGTAAGGAATCTGGGTTAGTCAATGTGTTCAAATGCTTCTTATTCCCTATGATACACAGCTTTATAGCACAGCCTCCTCCCAAAGACTTATAACAGGGTGGACAGTTTCATACATCCTTAAAAGAAAAAAGTGTATTATTTTTGTGAACATAAGAAAAGTAAGAGAGGAAGACAGACATAGATGGATTGAGATATGCTGGATATTTCATCCTGTTTTGAGGATGAAACACTGCCTTCCTAGGCAGGACAGGAGTGAAATGACAACATCCTTGGACAGCATCACTGTAGGAATCTGAATTATTCTCTGTTAACTTAATTTTGCATCATTAAAAGTCAGAGGCACTGTTTAGGAATTACTCTTTGTCCAAGGCAGTCCATTCATTATTTTCCCTGACTTAATAGTTAACATGCAGTGGAAAAGATTAAATTAGCATCAGAGAGAAAATGGATCAGGACAGAAAGAGAAGTTGATTAGCTATATATGTATATGTGTGTGTACAAATAAGCCTATATTGGAATGATAGTGCTGCAATGGTATTTACATAGGGTCCTAAAAATACCTGGAGAAAAATTCCTTAAGGGTAAGGAAGAAAAGCATGAAAATGTTTCCTTCTTGCTGTGGTTTAATACATCTTTAAGGCTAAAAGGGATTAATTATGCAGATCAGGTCAGAAAAATAAAAATAATTATTGATAAAACAACAATACATCCTTGGTGACTTTTCCTTTGGGGTACTGGCTTGGGATCTCTCTCTCTGCACAGGAAAGCATACCAGTGGTTTAAATTTCACCTGTGTGCTCAGAGTGTCAGGACAGGAACAACACCCTACTTGCAGTGATTTGAAAGCAATTGAAGTGTTCAGCTGCCCTGCAAGCTCCAGGCAAGTCAAAGGCAGATCAGGTGGCTTCAGCTCAGATCATTCCCCAGCTAGGACCTTTTTGATAACATAGACATCAGATTTCCATAACTGCAAGAGATATTTTCTTAAACACTGAAAACAGCTCATGAATTCACAGTCCTGTCATGTTATCCAGTGACTCATTTGGGAAAAAGGCTGCCTATCACAACATTACAGGGAATGAGTGGAGGGAGGACCTGGTACCTTAGTTCTCTTAGCGTTTTATCTTGGGCATTCACTAGTTCCCCAGGCGAGGACTCTCCCCATAGGACACATATGTTGATACATAGCACAGAAAGGTGACAGAGGTGTCTTGTAAAGTTGCTGATACTGCTGTGGAAAGCAGCTTTATAAACTAGCCTCAATTCCTCTGCATCCCATTCACAAAGTGAAAATGAATCTTCAAGGAAATGCAGCCCACGCTGCCTGCTTGGAAAGTGAATTTGAGGGGAGGGAGCGTGTTCAGTATGAAACTAAACACACTCAGAATAATGGTATAGGACACAGCCAAGAACAGCAAAATAATTGGATATTGAAGGTGACGATGCTAAGGATTCAATGTCGCTTTAAATAAATATATGCTGCTTGGTCAAAAGGTTGCACAGACCATCAGCCTGTGCAAGCACAAGGGATACCTGTTTATTTTTAATTCCTTTTTTTTTTTTTTTTTTTAGAAGCAATATAAAAATCTTGAATTAACCTTGAATCTTTACAGGTCCTGTTACAGGCAAGGTCAGTACTGTTCAGACTAAGCTTAGTTCAGACAGTGTTTAGCCAATCTGTGTAAAATGATTTGGAAGTCTCAGCCTTTTCCTGAGCAGAGGTGTACAGGGAAGTGTGCTTTTCACATACTTTATTAGCCTATACAGTGAACTCCCTTTTCAGCCCTATAGTTGGTCCCTCCAACATGAAATGAAACAAACTGATGGAGCAGTTGTGTGGGGTGTACCTGAAGTAGAATATTTGTGGGGAGTACAATATTTGCCTTCTGCCATCTCTGTGCAGAGAAGAGAGTCTGGGCTGTCAAGACTTGCTCCTTAGATCTTTAAATATAATACCAAGGGAAAAAAAAAAAAAAAAGGAAGCTCATAGTGGTTAGGCTGGAGGAATCACCTAGGTTTTATATTGTGAGATGTGACCCTTGGGTGAGCCTTCCCCTAGTCTTATGCAGGTGGAGGGCATTATTCCCCTCAAAGAAACTCTGCATTGGTCTGAAAACTCTTGCATATTGGGACAGTTAACGGGACTGACAACAGCTTGGGCTCTTGCTTCAGCCCCAGCCAGCCCCGACCGCCCCAGGGGAGCAGTGCCTGGGCCAGCTCTCCTCCCGATGGCAGCCCTCCAAGAGGGGGCGTGGTATGGTCAAAAATGGCTATTTCTAGCACCAAGCTTAAAATTCATTGCAGGACCTGATTATCAGCAGGGTTTGGTTTCCTCTGGTCTGGGGTTATTCAGCTCATCTGCAAGTGAAGCTGTAGGTGTTGGAGCCCACCCTTGTTCCAGGAGGGATGCGGGCAGGCAGACTGCAATCGGCCACAGTGGAAGAGAGCCCAGACCTGGGATCTTATTCTGTCCATGCCTCAGGTCATGGAGGCAGCTTGGTTTTGTAGCATATTCAGAACTTCACCTCTTGGGTATTTATGAAGGCTGGCTCATTACCTCCAGTTATTGGGGCTACTTTAGTGCAGAAATACATCAGGCTAGTCATAGATGGATGAAGACTTGCCAAACTTACTGCGTGTTGGCCCCAGACAAACCAAAGGGTTGTATAGCACTTCTGTTGTAACTAGCATTAAGAGGTAAAATTCTAGGTCTGACTAATAAAAACTTGAGTAACTCATGTCCCCAGGCTGGCTAGCTTTAAAAGAACATGTAAGATTTGGGGTTATTAAGAAAAAAGTTAACTAGATATAGAATAAGTGAAATCCAAGTTGGACATACATGATGAAACTGCTCCATCAGAAATAGCAGAAGATGCCCACAGGTTTTAGTGTTTACATGTTGCTCAGAGCTGAGAAATTCACTCTCCTGTCTCACTGTAGGAGACTTGAACACACAAAATCATAAATTTGCATATGGAAAAGAAATAAAAATTCCAATTCAAATCACTTAGAAAATATTAGGCATCTTTCCAGTCACATCAGCAGGCTTTGACCTAGTTGCCATATGACCTTTCTTCTGTTGGGTATCCAATGGATGGTGAAGAAAAACCCTAAAAATATTGAACCTGGTTTTAGTTAATGTCTACAATGTTCTGTTGCGTTACAAGGCTCTGAAGTAAGAGATCTCTGTTTGAAATGGTGTCCCAGGAATATCAATAGTATGACCTCCCTTGAACTGTATGATTCCCTAATCATCGGATAACACCATTGTTACAACACGTGCCGGGCATGTGCCATTGACCTGCCACTTTGTGGCACAGCTCTGAGGGACCAGAAAACAAACAAATAAATTAATCATACCACTTATGGAGCCAAGCCATCCTCCACGGAGTAAAAGCTAATCAACTTCATAATAACATGCAGTGCCCGTGTGCAATCAAACTGTTTAGTCCTCTATGAATTATTCAATGAGTCCTCCTGGCAGTTGGGGTAAGTTATTTGTTCGCCTGGCTGCTGTTTCTCTTCTGCAGCAGTCTCCCCTCGCAGTCCAGATTAAACATTTCATGTTGTTTCCACAGAATCGGTGAGTGATGGACAGGCTACGCTATCCTTGTGGCCAAGCAATGTTCTGCCAATTGATTTCTTTAAATGCAAAGCTTTTAATCGACTTCAGATTTTGTTTTCCAGTCTCTCTCCTTCTCTCATACTCCCTTCTGCTAATTTGCACTTTGTTCTTCTCCCATTTTCCTAATGACACAGCAGTTCAGACAGGAACTGTTTATTGATGTTGCTGCATTAGCAGGCAGAGCAGATAAACCTTCTTGTGACTGTTGTTCAGAATAACCATGTTTTTCTTCCTTTTCCAGGTTCAGATAAAAACAGCTGAAAAACTCAATACAAGACTAATAGCCCATTTATGGGAAATATGAAAAGCGGCCATTCCCTTTAAAAAATATTTCCTTTTTTACTTTCTCACACTCCTGTCTGCAAAGCTTCCCCTATATAACTCCTTAAATTTAGAATGCCAGCATCGCATTTCCTCTGTGAAAGCTTCGGTGGTGTGATCCATCAATAGAGATGGACCTTCTTTTAATTACATGGTATATTTATCCATAATCAAATAGCATTTGTAACATGGACCCATTCTTAATCAAAACTAAGTAACCTGCCTCTTAGTCAGAGCTAATGCTTGTTCAAAGCTCAATTGTAAGACCAGTCCTACTTATATTCTCTGGAGGCAAAGATGACACCTTTCTGCAGTGCTGACCAAAATCAGTTAATATCCAATCTACTTAAAACACAGAAATTGCTGTGCTTTCCGTATTTCCAGTAATTTTTACCAAACAGCTTGAACGTGAACATGAACCTAAATGCCACTTGCAAAGACATTCTTGAGGCATGCTCGTTATATGATTGCTCACCTTCAAGGATAGATTTATCTTTATTTCCAGAATCACTGACTCAGTGAAATTTACCCTCCAGAGCAGACAAAAATCTGGAATTTCAGATGCTCTGCAAAAAGGGGGACACTGTAAAAAAATCTCGTGGAAACCTGAGTCCTTTCTCAGGACAAAAAGACTCAGAGAAATTGCAAGGAACCACCCAGATAAAAATCTCTGAAGCTTCTGGTGTTCCCCTGTAACTATACTAGGCTCAGATGGAATAAGAAGTTCATAATCAGAAAGAAAATATATTGAAATGGTCATTGAGCAGTCAGGATGGTCTGAGGGCTTGGTGGAGGATCTTCAGTAGTGCTAAGAATCACCTGCTCAGTTGAAGTTGGGGAGCAAACAGAACTGATAGAGCCAAACATCCCCGTCTTCTCTCCTTTCTTCTCCAGCTGTCTTCTTCAACTCCTCCTCTCTCATGAAAATTCATCTCTGTGCTGGCACAGGGAGTGGTAGTGGGACTGAGGAGGAGCAGCTTTCATTCCTTTGATTCAAGAACAAGGTGCACACATAATTCAGGCACTGCTGCCCTCTAAGCTCTGCCAGTCTCATAGTACTTCACTGGGATACTAAAAAAAAATCTTGGCCAGCCCATTCCAGCCACTGGTGGATGACAACCTTTAACAGGAGGAAACCTACTGGGTCTCCAGACACCCCCTCTTTTCCTGAGGCTGCTGCTTACAATGTCTGTAAGGCAAACACACATTAAGTCCAAGTTCTTTAAAGGTGGCTTCCAACTGTTTCTAAGAGTAGTCAAGAGCATTTTTAGATCATCTGCTTCCCTGCTATCTGAAGTTTAAGACTACCTTATGCTGTACGTAAGCTAAAATGGCACACACCATTGGTCAACAGGATTCAGTGGACATACAGCAACTTCATTTTGTGTCCTAATCCTGGGAAGCAAAATGCATGAGGCATTTTCCAAGACAATGTCTGTCTCTGACCTTTCTCTCTGGCCTCTCTTTCTGTGCAGAAATATTACTAAGGAACTAAGGACAGAAGCAACTCAGAGGCAAAACCATACATGCTGAACACATTTTTTTAACCATAAACATTCCTGTTGGAAAGAGGGACATTGGTTTCATCCAACTACAATGATGATCCAATTTATGATTTGAGTATTTTTATAACGTTGAATTAGAGAGTCTTTTCTTTGACCTAACTTGATTTTAAAAGCAGTTTTGCCTGAGGAAAGCCTGGATATAAACTGAGTAGGGATTTTAAAATTTGACCTAGAATGTTGAACTAATAGCTGACCTTTGAACTGTTCCTAGATTACCCAGGGTTTACGGTCATCCTATGTTTCAGTGGAAGGGTCATTTCCTGTAGGACTTACACCCAGTCACCTGACTTGTGACCTCTTGGATTAGATTTATGACCTTGCAAGGTCAGTCTTTAACTCCTAGACTGTTAAGTTGCAAAGAGGACATTGTATGTCATTAGAAAGGCGGTTTTCTCCAGTATGGTAATAAGGTTTTAAAATGAACTTTAATTCCAGCATCCCAAGACACTACTAATTTCCAAACAATATGATGACTTTGTAGTTATCCCTACCTTTTCTTAATTTAGGAATAAGTAGATATATACATTGAAGATACCAAAAATTTGACAGTATTTGCAAATTGGCAAACAGAATATAGTCACCTTCCTCCATGTCAAGGTATTTAAATGAGACTTGATTTTCAGCTCTGCTAAGTATTATCAACTCCAACTGATCTCAACAGGAGCAGTAGAAACTCAACACCCCTCAAAATTATGCCAGTACCGCATAACTATAAAAATAAATGCTTTCTTTATGTGTTTGTATGTGCAATTAGTGTCTGTAATTTGTTGAGCAGGAATCATCTCTTTTCTTAATGTATCTACAGTACAGTTTGACTTTGCTTTCTGATAACAATAAAAATAAATGCATTGAATAAGTTCAGTCCTCAGATACAGAGCTTTACTAGAGTGAAAGTAAGAAAACACAAGGCTTCTGTGGTTAAACTGCATTTTCAACAGAAATCAAAGTTAAGCACCATAAGCATTAGTTTTCTAAAGACCTCAGTTTCTGAGTTAGGCAACAAAAATAAGGACAAGATTTATAGAGAAACTCCTTCCAAAGTTTGTGTGAAAAGATGAAGTAGCTCTCCTTAGGAGGAGTCCTCTTGGATGTCAGTCCCTAGAAGAGGACTCCAAACATTTGCATGGACACCTGTGCTACAGCCTGAGAACTACTTGGGAAATTCTACTTAGTAGTGTTTCTTTTGCCTGTCTTTCAGACCCCATGAGGCTACGAGCCTTCCGCTGTAATGGCCGTTCTTGCAACCCGCCAGTGGGAAACCTTGCAACAGGGAGGACACCAGTCACTCTCACCACATGTGGCCAGAACAGTACAGAACTGTACTGCTTCTACCCAGACCAGAACCTCCTCCGTCAGGTCTCCCATGGCTGTGGGCAGCCTCGCTGCACCAAATGCAATGCCAACCAGCCTGATAACTCCCATCTCCCTGCGGATATGACAGATGATTTCTTTGCAAACCCCATCTCCTGGTGGCAGTCTGCCCAAGGGGTACACAGGGAAGAAATCAGACTGGACTTTGAAACACAATTCTACTTGACCCATGTCATTGCTGTGTTCAAGTCACCTCGCCCAGCTGCAATGGTGTTGGAAAGATCCCAGGACTATGGGCAGACTTGGAGGCCCTATAAGTATTTCTCTGTCAACTGTACAGCAACTTTTGGGCTCCAGGATGATCTCATTGAGGAGGGCTCCATGTGTACATCCAGGTATTCAGATGCAGTGCCCTGCACCAGAGGAGAGGTAAGCAATAACTGAGGTTTGGACTAAGTTTAATGTCAAACAGCTGAAGACTGGCTGAAAATTGGAGAGTATATGCTCAAAGAGATACTGTGCGTATAAATTAAGAAAGGTAGCCCATCCCTAAGGGCTTTGTGTTAAGAAAATAAAGGGGCAGAAGAAGAGAATTTATATATCAATGAAAATGAATGGAAATGCTTTAACAGATTTCTTTTATGAGAGTTGAACAGGATAGGATTAACATTGCCTAATTTTACATTGCAGATACCAATAACTGAATTAGAATTCCAACAAAATAGATGTAGGAAAGTACACATTTGTACAGTCTGATTTATCCAAACTGTTTTCCTACTTTAGGATGACATAAAGTGTGTGGTCTTTCTTTTTCTTCTCCTTATAAAAAGTCCTAGATGATTGGATGACTTTTAAATACATCCTTCCCCTAAGTTTAATGTAACTTTTGCTGGAGGTGACCTATCTGGTTGTATCAAGCCATAGGCTCCAGAAATGAAACTGTTTAGAAACAAGAGGTGGAAGTGAGCAGCCAGATTTCACTATTCAACAGTGGGAAAAGGCCCTCCCTTGGTATGAATATTCTGGTGTGCTACTAAACATATGCAGAAGGCTTTCTTTTAAAATAAATGTACAGTTGCTCTGATAAATTCCTCTGATATGAACATTAATGACTGCTTAGTAATCAGATACCTAGTTTACTTATAACCCTTTTCATTCATCAATCTTTAAATGAAACAGTTTAAATGGGGAAGATGGTAAATATAATTCGTATTGTTTTATAGAGGAGACAGAAAGGCACAAAGAGAGATTATGAGACATTCCTATAGTCACAACAGTGGCTGGAGTCCTTTCACTTCCTTCTCTCTTCCTTAGAGAAGTCACAGTCCTCTTGGTTTCCCTGTCTGGAAGTGATCATGCAGGTTTGGCAGTAATACTTTGCTGCAAATTAAGCTCAGGTGTGAGGTGAATTGTCCAGATAGGCTTCAAAAACACAGTAGTTTCAGCAGTGCACTTCAAAATGCACTTGAGAAGAAAGAAACTAGTGTACTATACCTGAGACAGGGAAACAGCAGGAAGGGGAGACTGAGTTCATCTTTGTGCAACAGGCTGGGAAACATCCTTGCACATTAGAAATCTGGAGCAGATCATCTGACTACTAAACCATCTTGTTCCTGGAGTAGTAATTCTGCTGGTCAGTTATCATGATACATTTAAGTCAAATACATCCAAATGTCTTCTGCAGAGAGATTACAATTTGCCACATTGATACAGAATCTAGGCAACTAATATAATTTTCCACTCTTCTGTACCTACTAATCAAAAATCTGGAAGTACTTTGCAAGATCCATTTAATGTTCTTCAGCACATATGTAAATAAGGGTCCTGTTGCTGTTTCACAGATGGGGAAAGAGCAGCACGGAAAGGTGAAGTGTTTTGTGGTAATACAGGACAATTCTGCTTGAGTGAGGAACAGAATACAAGGTCTGAGGCAAATGCCTTGGCCTTAAATACAAAAGAACTCTTCCTTCTCTAGTACAGTATCCCCTGTTGCCCTGCACTACATTGGCTTTTGTGCTTACTAAACCTTGGGGAATATCGTTAAGACCATGTGTTGCTACTACAACAAATCTGAGAAGTGGATGGCAGAAAATCAAATAATAAAACATTCATCCAACACAAGCCTTTGTGATTACAAGTGCCAAAATGATTCTGTCAACTTGGGCAGCAACTACGCTGAAATGAATATGTGTATGCTTAATCAATCTATGCTGTGGTAGTAGATGTTAGAAAACAATAGTAATAGTAAGAACAGTCATATATTTACAGTTCATACCCTTGCAGATTCCAAATACTTTCATGAACTGTTACATGAATTGAATACATACAGAGGTCACTTCCTCCATGGGACAGACAGCTGAAGCTTTAAAGCAGCACACAGGAATCTGTATGGCAACTTAAAGGAGAAAAGACAAAGACTGTTTCACAGCATATTAACCCGAAAGGATTCTGAAGTTCTGGACAGACTTTACAGAGACCTCTTAATCAATCCATGAAATGCCATCATGGCAAAGGTGCAAAAGCATCAGGCTTTTCAGGTCAGCAATATGTCACAGCAGATTCTTTCATGAATGAAAATAAAGGAAGGAAGCACGTAGTTATTTGAAGTGATACCTGATCAGAATTGCCTGAGCGCCACTGCTACTCTTACTACAAGTCTCACAGGAGCTTTGCCAACGCATCTTAGAACTGTGATTTTACACCTGATTTAAAGATGTCACAAATAGCACCAGGGCATCCCCTCAAGCACTGACTCACAGCTGACTTGGAAGGAAGCTGACTGAATCCCCACCACTACTTTCTGCAGTGTTCTCTGCTTCTTTTTTACCTCCGCTCTGACCTGTCCAGTTACTGATTCTGGCTAAGCCTTGGATTGCCGAGGAGCTCACATCACAAAATGACAGCATTTCTGAAATGATCACAAACGTTCCGACTTAGATGCTAATTAATGCTCTGAGGTAAATGCCAGTTTTCTCTACTGAGGGGGTTGAAGTCATTTCCACTGCATGACACTCAGGGTTTTCTTGGGCATTGCCCACTTGGAGAAGAGACACAAATTCTTTTTTAAGAGGGCACAAAAGGAATCAAAAAAAGATGTGGCTTACTAAGAACACTTAGGTTTACAACCCGTGTGGGACACATCATGAAACAAAATTTCAAGACAACTGGCTTCCAGAACTGAGAATGTAGGTGTGAAAGGAGAAAGTGGTGGAGCTGCAGTAACTTACATGCATCTATAAACTGAGATGCATCTGCCTGAGCCAGCACATGCTGGTGGTCCTCCAGAACTACTGAAAGAGGCTTTTCCTGGGAGCATGATGGGAAACCTGGCAGAAGAGGAATTTTTAGGATACTAGAATGGAAGCAAAAGTGAGTGATGTGACAGTGTCACAACAGAACATAATGTATTACTAAGTTAAGGTGTATTCGTTATCTCTTGTAGATTATCCCTTATCTTTCACCTCTGACAGGGTCACACATCTCCATTCTGTCCCAGATAAGGTACAGCTGAGACAGAAGGTGTCAGGCATTTAGGGAACAAGTCCTGTAGAAATGCAAGATGACTTCCTAATGTCTTTTCTGCAGTTTTCTTTTACTCCGGCATTTACTAAACCCCTTACTCCTGTTCAGTTCCAGAGTACTTCTGCAGCTAGAATCTATCTGAGATCCTAGGTCCCCCCATCTTAATTTTTCTGGCAATAAACTTGCTGTATTGATGATTTCTGACCCAGGACACAAAGAAATTTATTTACTGCCAATTGCCTACACATCGTTTGCTTCATATGAAGCTCCACAAAATCAACACCTAGCCTTCTATGCTTATAAACACTTCTCAGTGAAAATCCTCCACTAGCATGTCATAAGTCCTGACTGGCCTGTTAAGTACCCTATGTTTTGCCTGTTGACTTCTCTCACTATAAGAAATTATATATTAAGTGGGAAACAAGTGCTTCTAATCCTGTTCTTACAGGAGAACTTTCTTAATTATTTGTAAGGGAGAGTAGTTACTGCTACCCTCATCAGCTTCAGTACGCCAACCTCCAAGATAACATCATGAACTAAAACCAACCCCACCTTTTTAAGGTGTAAATGTATCTACAGGCAATGATTGAATGGAGTCTTATGCATCAGCTGAGACCTTTTTTACCTACTTGTCCATCCATCTGTTTTTCCAATTTAAAAACACTACTATATAGTCATGGAGCTTCAAATGAGCCTTCAGGTCAGTTAATGTAAATCAAAACTCTGCCCCAAAAAAAGGACAAATTACCACAACTTTGCATCAGACATTAGTGTGACTTACAGTTCAAACATCATCTGGGGGAAAGAAGGACCAAAATGTTTCAACCTGCATCCTGACAGCACGTGCATTCAAGGATCTGGGAGATTAAGAGCACATTTTTAATATACTGGAATATCAGGAAATGAAAACAAATGTTCTCCTCTATCGAAGATGATGTTTGCATGAAAGGAAGACATTAGCATGCAAAGTGGCGTAGAACACTGACCTGCTTATAACCAGCAGACCCAAAAGGACACCCTTCCCCTACTGGGTCTAGCTAGTAGAAGGGAGTTTTGAATCAAAGGCTGGTTCATTTATGTGAGTGTCTGTGTGACAGATGACACCAATGAAGTGTGATATAATAAACCCATTACTGGAATACACTGGGGGCTGGAAGAATTGCATATGCCTGAATTAAGTAACTGGTTTCTATGGCAACATGTTAAGTGTGCCTTGTGCAGAAGACCTGTTCATTCTCCGTTTTGTATCCTGTGGTGACCTCTTTAGGGACAGAAGTCCCCAGCAGTGCCTTTTGTCAAAGATGAGTGGACTCACTTTGTAGCTGAAAGATGTTTAATCACTCTTCCAAACACACTCTGTGAATGCCAGATCAAGATGTGTTGTGATGGGATGCAGTTGTCTGCTTCAAAAGCCACCAAGTTGTTCAGACAGAAGCCACAGTCAACCCTATGGAAGACCTTTTCCTCTGCACTGACACTGAAGACCTTTGCTGCCTTTCTCCACCTACAGGGACTCCCTGAGCAACAGTTATGGCAGAGGGGGACCACAGACACCAAACCAGGCCAGGGGCTGGGCTCTGCGTGGAATGTATGTGATCCTGTCCCAACATTTCTTGCTGTCTTTTCTGAGGCTTTTCTTTTACTGCCAAACCTTTTGATAAACAAAGGAGGATCCCCTGCACACACACATACCTCATTAAGTGGCAACATCAATAATTCAAGAGGTCACCACTGAGGCTTCAGTGGCTTCTTAAAGGTCTGATTTAACATGGCAGTGGGGTCACTGAAAAGAAACATGTTCAGCACATCACAAGGTTGAATTCCTAGTAGCTTAGATGCAAGGGCAGGTCTTGCACTGCAGTGAATTGTCCAACAGTCATCAGGACTGGCCTCTCAAAGTTGCATGA